AAGTAAGGTAAGTAAGTAAGTAGTAGTAGTATTACGTACGTACGTACTAACGTAACTAACTAACTAACTACTACGTACTACCTACCTACCTACTACTACTACTCTCTCTACTACTACTACTACTACTCTCTCTCTCTCTCTCTCTCTCTCTCTCTCTCTCTCTCTCTCTCTCTCTCTCTAGTAAAAAAATCATTTCTCTCTCCTCCCTTCTAGATAGGGCCATGCCATCTAAACTTTGATAAGGGAGCCAAATTGAAACCATAATTAGGGTTTTGTTGTTCGGAGAAGAAATATGGGTATGCCCAACCAAAGGAGGATTCTATGCCTTCAAGCCCAATCCTGATTTGTTCCTAAGGGTTCCTCCAAACCCTAGTTAGGTTTCCATGCCCTCTAAAACCCTAGAGAAAGAGGTATTGCCTGTGAAAGATATCTCTTATAACACTCTAAATCCTCAAGAAACTATTTATTATAAGTTGTTGCCAACAAAAGCTTAGGAAATGCAAAAAGGAAGTTGTTAGAAATTAGATTATTGCCTAACAAAACATATGATGTGTCTCTCTCAATCAACAGTTAATATGAAAAAACAATGAGTGAGAAAACCAAAACAAAAACCTTCATCATTAACAGTGTTTTTCAATGAACTTTTATTCTTTAAAATTAAGCATCCAAATTATGAAACAACAAAACAATATGATATGACAATATTAAAAAACAAACAACAATAAGTGCAAAGGAGAAAGATTACAAGTGGACCATCCAGTCAAAGATGAAAGAGTTATGAATGCTATCCCTAAGGGTGAATACATAAAACAGCATACCATCCCATCATGAATGGAATCTAAGGCAAGCCCCTTGTGCAACAATGAAAGACGTAGTGAGAGCCAGATCCTTTTGCTTCCTTTTGCTTCTCTTTTATCATCATGTGCAACTCCGATAACTACGCAAGGGACTAATTGTCCAACATAAAAATTACATTCCAGCACCTACATAGGAAAACAATCAAACGTGAGAATCCATACACATAAGCCCTAGCACAACACTAATGGTGCTTGTAGATTTATAAAAAGATTAGAAAAAAGGGCCAGGAATAGGGATAGCAACAACACAATGATTGGTTAAGGTCCCTCACATTGTTCTCCTTGCTAGAGGAACCACGGGTCTTCTCCAAGCTTCCTCCTTTCTCTAAGAAGAGATCAGATGCTTCCTCTACTTTAACAAACCCTTTCAAACCCCCTGGAAGACTAACTAGGAGATCTTTTGCGTTAACTTCAGAAATAATTCCCCATATCTTCATTCCAACGGATACATTCTGCAGAATCAAAAGGTCACCAGAATTTAGTTGTAAGAATGTGCAGTTAAAGGTATGTGCTCATTTTACATTTATAACGGAAAAAAAAAAAGTATAGACATCTTTAGATCACTATAAATATAACAATTTTAAAAAGTGAAGGCACAACTCATTACAGTAAAATCATAACACATTCTGAACAGATGGATAACCAACCATATAAAAAAAATGGATATAATGAGCAAAAACTAAGAGACACTTCATACAAAAACTCTTAAGTTCAAATCCAAATAACATCAAGTAATTCACATGCCTCCATGAAACTATGCTTTTGCCAAAAGCAAGAATGTCAATGAGCTCTAGATGTAATAAGAAGTCCAGATAAAAAATCAATAGAACCAGAGTGGCCAGGATAGCTTGGTAAGCAAGCACCCGGCGCCAACTGCCAGTTCGTTTCTTTCTCTTCTTGAAGCATGAACAGCCTCTTACTTCTCCAACTTCTTAAAGGCCACAGTGGCCACACAAACACCCACGAAAGCGCACACACACAACACAAACACAGACACAGAGACACACAGGCACAGGCACAGGCACAGGCATAAGCACAGGCACACATGCACGCACACACAGGTGCAAGCACGCAGAGAAAGAGAGAGAGAGAGAGAGATTACTGCAGCAGAATAAATAAGAGTGTGATTTTCAATTATTTTCATGGCTCCTTTTTCCCCCAATTTTTCTAAAATCTCTCTTCTCAAACTCTAAACAAGAATTCCTGCTGAAATACGACTTCCAATCAAATCAACATTTCGTTGATGAGTACCCCTCCAAGTTACCGAAAATCTCTATCTAAACTTTACCAACCATTAAGTTAGAATAAGATGCAAAAGAAGGAATTTCAATGATTATCAAAACAACAATATTCATCAAAATAAATAAATGCCAATGTTGAAAATTAACTAAGAATAGAGAAATTTATGAAATAAAATTACACAGATAAATTTAATTCAAAACTAATCAATTACAGCAAGTAATTGGAAAAAATCCTATCAAAAATAAAAAATGAAAGATGCTGAGACTTCTAACATAATCTGCAATAACAGGTATAGATCACTTATTTGCCCTAAAATTCATCTTGGACATCTATCCCGACCTCAACAAGGGACAACCCTTTGAAAACCCTCAAGAGTAGCACCATATACCCGGGGATAGGGTTTTGAACATGACCAAGGTCGTAGACTGCAACCCTCGGTCAATTAACCAACACATACACTCCCAATTAAAGTGTACAATCCACTATTTACATGCTCACACAGGCTTTAAAGGCCACAAACCCCAACATATTCAAGCAATGGTAGAGGAACCACCCTCAGTAGGCCCCCACCTGGCAAGAGCAACCGCTGTCGTATTGGCTTCAGAACCAAGTTTCCAAGGATACTAATATTTCATCTAGACTCATCCTATGGTGTTCTTAGAATCACCATCAACTATGAAGTCCTGGTTCCAATTTTTATAGAACCTCGTTAAGCCGTCTAGTAGGGCATTTACCAGTGATTCAAAAAACCCCAACGCCTGGGCGGCCGCCTAGGTGGAATTTGGGGCCTGGGCGATTTTGAAGCACAAATTCCTGGGCGCCCGCCAGGCGCCCAGAAAACCGGCTAGGCGGCCACCCAGGTCCTGCGCCCCGCCCGGGGGCAGAAATTCACTTCGGTGGGGGCATTTTTGGTCCATTTTTTTTAGATTAAAGGGCCCAAAATGGTGGTTTTAGGTTCATTTGAAACCTAAAACTTATTGGAGCGTATTATAGAGAGAGAAATCCCCCAAAAAACTAGTTTCTTGGCAATTCATAAGGATGGCAATTCAAAGTTATGAGAAATTGATCAAAACATCACCCATTGATATTAGATTTAATTTTTGATGTTTTATAAATCTATTGAGGTCTTTTTTAGAATATTGTGAGTCCTTAGAAGCATCTTTGGGGTGGAAATTTGGAGAATGAGCAATCAAACTCAAAGTAAGTGATTTTTTTTTATTGTTTTGCTTGTATAAATTGTATTATTTTGAGATGTCTTCTTCGACATCTAATAGAAGTGGTGATCCTGGTTGGAAATATGGCTACAACCCAGATTCTAATGATAGAAATTGCATAAGATAAAAATTTTCTGAGATGGATACAAAAGGGAGCATAAATCAGTTCAAGAAACATCTTGCCGGTATCAGGGAGGATGTTGCCCCATGTAAAAAGACTCTTGATGCTGTTAAAAAGGAAATAACCAATTTTTTGAATATGGTAAAAATGAAAAAAGATGAGAAATTTGCCTCCATAGCAGAGATTAGGTCTGGGGTTCAAATAAATGATGATGATGATGATAGTGATGAGGATGGGATTGGGAGGGATGTCAAGAAGTAAAACAATCTATTATTAAGGGAAAGGGAAAGGGAAAGGGAATTGTAATTGTTTCTAGTTCTGGGAGTAAGAAGCCTCGGGTTAGAGGCCCTATGGATAGTTTTTTGCCTCGGCCTGATTCTGAAGTGGCAGGAGAGAAAACAAAGAAGCAAACCACCATTGAAAAAAGAATAAAAAAGGAAGCGAGAGATATAGCTACTTATTATCTTGCTACATGGTTTTATGAGGCGAGCATTCCTTTCAATACTGCTCACTTAACCAGCTTCTATACTGCAATAGAGGCAATTGGCCAATTTGGGCCTGGGATGAAACCCCCAACCCCATATGAGCTTTCAAAGCCTCTTTTGAAAAAGACAGTGAGTGTCATGAAGGAAGCTGTAGAAGTTAAGAATGATGCCTAGGGCTCAGTATGGGGTTTCTATTATGACTAGTGCTTGGAGTGATAAGAAGAGAAGAAGTCAAATGAATTTGCTTGTGAATTGTCATTTAGGGACTGTTTTTTTGATGTCTATTGATGCCTTTGATCATATCCATGATGCCCATTACATATTCCAAGTTATAGAGAAGGGAATCAAGGAGGTTGGGGAGTATCTTGTTGTACAGGTTGTCGCAGACAATGCTGCTCCTAATGTTGCTGTAGGTAATTTGTTGCACATAGCTTATCCTAGAATCTTTTGGACACCATGTGCAGCACATTGTATAGACTTCATGCTTGAGGCTCTTGGCGGTTTAACCGAGATATCAGGTGCAGTGATGAAGGCAAAGTCAGTTACGAATTTCATTTATGGCCACCATCTCACCCTCAGCATGATGCGTAGATTTAAAAAGAAGTAAGAGATTGCGAGGCCTGGGGTCAAGAGATTTGCGACCTGGTACTTATGCCTAGATAGCATACATTCAAGGAGAGTGCAGTTGAGGCAGATGTTTACCTCGGATGACTGGAGAGTATGCAAGTGGTCCAAGGATCGGTTGGGAAGAAGGTGAGAGATATTATCCTTTCTAAGGCTTTTTGACAAAGGGTGAAGGGCGCTCTTAAGGTATTTTTTCCTCTTGTCAAAGTCCTTCGCATGGTTGATAGTGACAAGCCTTCTATAGGCTATGGAGAAATGCAAAAGAGAGATAGCCCAAAATTTCGATAATGATGAGAGCTGCTACAAGCCTGTTTTGGAGATTATTGATGAGAAGTGGGATAGGCAACTACATCGACCATTGCATGCAGCTGGTTATTATCTGAACCAAGATTTTTTTTATGTTGACAAGGATACACACACAAATGACACAATTATGACTAGATTTAATAAATGTGTAGATGTGCTAGTCCCCGATCCTGATATCCAAGATATTATATGCACTGATGAGCTAGTAAATTACAAGTGCTCATTAAAGTCTTTTGGGAGTCCAATGGCGATGAGGAAAAGGGCCAAAATTGATCCAGGTACCATAGTAATAATATTCTTAAATTCATCAAGTTCAAGTAATCAAGTTTCATTTTTACAATTCTATTATTTATTTATGATTTTATTATATATCTTTGCAGCCCATTGGTGGAGCCAATATGGGTGTAATTCTCCAAATTTACAAATTCAGATCTTAAACCTATCCACTTCCTCATCCGGTTGTGAGCGCAATTGGAGTACTTTTGAAGGGGTAAGGCTGTAAGGGTAATTTGTATAATTGTATTAATAATACATGAACCTTAAATTTTAATTAGTTTCATTTGATTTTGTTAGAGACATACAAAAAGAAGGAACAGGCTTGAATCAAAGAGGCTCAATGACCTAGTCTATGTCAAGTATAATCAATTCTTGAAGGACAAGCTTGCTGAGAGAGATAAGAAGACCCCATTAGATCAAAAAATATGGACAATGCTATGGAGTGGTTAGTTGATGATGATGATGAGGTCGAGGGGCATGAAGAATTGACATGGGATATGGTCATGGATGCTTCAGGGACATCAGTTGACCCTCCTAAGGCCACTAGATCTTCTGCACAAAGAACGTGGGTGGAGGAGGAAGAAGAGGCAGATTCAAAAGAGACGGAGGAGGATGACGAATATGTCAAGGAGGGTGACAACTCCGATGAATATGATGCCAATGCAGCTGACCCTCGTTTTTCTGATGATGAATGATGAATGTTGTATAATTATTAAACTTTGAACTTTGATTGAACTATTGTCTATTGAAGATTCTTTTGAGACTTCAAGTATTTGTATTTATATTACTTTCATTTTTGTTTTCTTCCTCATGGTGGTGTAATATTATAATGTGTTTTGTGGATAGTGGATTTGTAGTTCCACTAGTTTGATACTATTTGGTAACTTTGGTTTGGTAATTTGGTTGGTTGGTAAATTTTAAGTATCTATACCGACTAATGGTTATGCTTTTCAGCTTATGGAGTGTGTGCTACTGTGTAGTATACTTTGGATAGATTCATTCCTCAATCAAGTATTTCAATTTTACCTTGGAACCAAAAGTAATTTTGAGTATACTCTATATAGATACCTTTTTAAATTCAACTGGGTCGCCTAGGTTCTGAGCACCAGCCTAACGCTTTTTGAAACACTGGCATTTACCTTGGCCTAGGTGGAGTAACCTATAACAAGGTAGCAATGAAAAGA